CATCCTTGGCACACGATGTCCGTCCAGAGGAATCCGTGAAGCCGTCGACCTTCCAGAGACGGAATTTGTCGGCAGTCGTTTTGCTGTATGCCGCAGACATCAGAGTTTGACCGAGTTGATTGAAAGTTATGATTGGTGTGATTGTCAATAAGGGTGAAGTTTGGGAGTTTTTATAATGGGTTACAAGCGTAGTGTTCACCTGCCATTGTTGTGAAAGTGGCCAAGCGGCGAGATTGCACGACGCAACTCACTCACTCGTCGTGGGGGAAAGGTGCCTTCTTTTACGCACATTACTGTGAAAGCGTTTGACTCGAATGTTCGTGAAATAGCTTGTTGAAATAGCTGCAAAGACGCGCCGTGAGAATGCCGAGGCAATCAACATCATATCCTTCCGACTCCATGAACGCCAGAGAAGAACCGCCAAAACCTTGTGGTCTAGAGATAGACCCGTAAACGGAAAGTACAAATACATGTTATACAGTTCGGTATACAATCATCGTATCGTTCAATGCGACAAATCGTTGGAAGAAACCCTCTTAACACCGCCCAGATGCAAGACGAAGGACGAAATGGTACAGAAACTGAAGGACGTACAGCTAGAAGGGGTCACAATGCACGATCCTCGGACTGTGCCGCACATCGCGTACAGCAGGAATGGTTTGCGATCTGGAAGCTCGGGTGTGAAGTAGGGTGTCGTGAGGCGAACGAAGCGGCGGCGCATCGTGCGGTATGTCTGCACGAGCATGTGAGCGCATATGACTTGGAGGTGGCGATCTTGGGTGAGCGACTGAGCGCATTGGTGAAAGCTCATATTGATCGGTCTTGGGTTGCCAATTCGGTGGGGCCTCCATGGGTGACGATGGCGAAGGATAGTCTGTCTTGGCACTGCTAAACCAGCCATCGATGGCTGCACCCATGGGGGAAGTCAAGTCTTGTATCGAACCGGGTCTGATTGCAGTCCCCTCACATGTAGTCATCAGCGGTGGCGTCTGAAGATGCGTTGTGGTACTGAACTTCCGAGGCTGCGCACGGCTGGACGACCGTGTTATCAGCGCCCCTGGACCAGAGGGACTCTTCAGGACTGGCGGACCAGGAGACTTTACGCCCGTGGATATCGTTTGCGATCGCATTGCTCGAATTGGTGGCACCCGAGATGGGCTGTACTGTGGCTGCGGTGAGACGGAGGAGGAGCTTTGAGCCGGGAATAGCGAGAAGCGTTCCGCATATGGCGTAGTCAAAGCCGGCGTTGGGGTGCGACTGGAGTAGCATGAGCTCGAGGAAGTTGGTCTGGGACTGTAGATCTTTGTTGGTGGGCTGGGTGCCTTTCTGGAAGGGATGAATGATTGCGGAAGCAAAGCTTGTGGTGATGCGCACGATGGTGAAAGCACGCCTGAGCTCTCTGTGCGTGGACTCGCCCAATCCAAGCTTCGTTGCCGCCGAGGATCTCGACATGGGATATAGATGTTTAGCCCGCGAACGCTAGCCTGCTTGCCGAGCGGCGTCTGCGGCCGAGGAGGCGATAGAGGCGACAAAGGTCTTGGAGCCGGAATGTAAGGCGAGAGCTGCGGCACGCGATTGTATGGAACAACGGCATCTGCAGTCGGGTTCCAAAGTTCGAGAGCCTTGGTCTTATTGTGTCGGCGAAACCACAGCGAGGACCCTGAGCGCCCTGTCTCTTCATCGATGAGATGGAGGCGACTCTTCGTCGAGTGAGTCCTTCGCAAGTCGCCATCCATACCTTTGAAGAAGGGCACCATGTATGGAATGCTTGCAGTTGCGATGCTGAGGCATACATGGGCTTGCGATACGATCGCCGGCACCCAGAGTCGGTATTGAGGATTGCCATGGAGCGTAGCCGGGAATAGCAGAACGAGACGAACAATTGCCAGAATCAGCACCAGCATGCGCGGCGCAAAGCATGCAATGACTGCGAATTTTCTTGAGAGCCGTACTTGAAGGTATGCTACGAGGTGTATGGAAAGCATAATGATTGCGACTTCGGTGGAAATGTCGACGATACAATAGACGATCCAAAAGATGCGCTGTTCAAGTCAGCTTTCAGATGATTTTGGTTAGGTCCTATGTTGCATACCGAGTTAAAGCATCTTGGGCCTACAATCTGCCAAGGTCGAGGTAGCTGGCACTGAAACGCAATTGCGACAAGCGACACCGCTGTCCAGATTGACACTACCGCACTGAAAGCTACCACAGCTCGGCGGATGATGCGTTGCGTTACGACGACATTGTAGAATATTACCAAGATTGATAACTTCGCGAAGCCAATGGCTACGGTGTAGACAATTTCAGACGAGTAGTATCCCTTCATGAGGAAGATGGTTTGCTCGGGGGTCAACGGACCAACAGTGCCGAGACCTTCGAACGACAAGACAAGAGCTATGATTGAAAGACTGACGGCAAAGGACTGCATGCATTAGCAAAGTTCGAGAGATATGTTGTGCAACTTACAAAAGCCACAAATATCAAGAGATCATCGAGCGCCATTCTCCGAAAGACAACAACCTTCATTATCTGCCGTGCTCCGAAAACCATCATCGTAATGATGAGAATGGCCCATGATGCAGCCCTGATGGTATTTGCTCGGTCGATGGGGCTGGCTGATGTACTTCGGGGCAGGAAATATCCACTCGCTAACTTCATATTCGACATAAGGGAAAAATGGACAACGTCCAGGAAACTGACACAGAAGGAAACGATAAGGAAATAGTGAAATGGTCAGACCTTCTTACCCCATATCACCCTGAGCATGACGAAAGAGCAGGTCATGGAGTAGAAAGGCTGTAGCTGGTAAGGCGAATTATGGGTGAAGCAGAGCCTCGCGTGTGCTTCGAGTTGTCCAGGGTGCGGGCCAAAAACAGTACACGAGGCGATCAATCCTAGAATATCGCTACAACACTTTCTTGGTACTGCTTACCTTGACGTTCAGTTCGGCAGTTCATCTCAAGCTGCTACACTTTTGTCCTGGGTAAATAGGACCTTGGCGTCTCTGGTTCGCTGTTCAGAGCCCCTCTGCCTCTTCCCTAGGATTAGTGTCCTGCGATGCACTGGTAAGCGCATATGCGACTCGGCAACGCTGCGTCATGCATCTAATCTTGGGGTGTATAGGCGCTTGCGATGATTTGTAGATGCTGCTGATGGATGGCGCGGCTGACATGCGCTACGTTCCTTCCGGCGGGTATGCGCGTTGGGGCGCGGGGCCATCCTCCCGCGCCCTCAACGTAGACGCGCATGAACACTGGTGAACGGTACGAAGTGACCAAATCGCGAAACATGTCCCTTGGATGATCATCGCTGGCAGGAAGATGTTTGCCGCGGTCTACGCAGCAGCAGCGGATCGCTGGGGCTCAACGCCGGTGAAATCGTGCATGGTTTGCAAGGCTTCCGTGCACTCCATCAACTGGTAGTCATCATTTTGCCTCGCAGCCTTGTCGCTGCAGCCTTGTCTCTGAAGTAGAATGCCACACCGGACTTCCTAGAACGGTGAAGACGACGGTTCCGGCTATGTAGGTTGAGGTTGGTTGCGGTTGTCTTGGGTTCGCGTAACGTGGCGCGTCTTTTCTTAGGTCTTCGTGCAGACCCCGGAAACCCATCCCAAGGCCAAGCGTGCATCCTTCCCAGGTACCGACAATGTGACTCGGCGCTTGAAGCTGTCTTATCTTGCGATTCGGGGTTTGAAGTAGATAAGGTGCCTATTCTTGTATTCAGTCCACTACTGAGCAGGTGATGCGCTCGAAACTGAGGGCGACCGAGATTGTAGAAGGTATCAGTAAGCGGACCGCTCATGTGACAAATTCTATAGTGATGTCGATCAAGCACGGAGCGCTTGAAGCGTGCTGATGAATCAACAAGATAGAAGATGGGCCAGAAGTCGTTCGCGAAGAGGTGATGGGTCGCGAAAGCCGCCACCGCCAAAACCTTGAGAGGATGGGAGGGCCGCTCCTTGACCCAGCCTAGCGGATGATGTCAGCACCGCCTTCCAGCCGAGACCGCTCTCACCCACTCGTCTGAACAGCACCTTCATCAACAGTGACAACACCAGGCGATCCCGACGCAAGATGAGAAACCCGCCAGCACAATGCATGCCCATTGCCCACTCCTTGCATTACTCAGGTCCAGAGTGCATTGATAATCCAGAGACGGTCACTGCGCGGATCTTCCACGGCATCCGCCGGCACGCATCTTCGTGCGCGACAGCGTTGATATACTCAATGCCCCCGACAGGCCTATCGATGCGACAGGGACAAACTCTACCTCGAAGACGGCGCAGCGATTCGGTTTCAGAGGCCAGCGTTTGAGTACCAGAATGAGCCATGAGCAACCGCGTTGGTGCCGCTCTTGAACATCACCATGCCATAAGCGCTTGCCTTTCTTCTGCTTGCGTGGCCTTGAGTTGGCAAGAATGTTTCAACCCACTATCTTTCCAGATCGACCTCCAGGATGAAGCGCACACTGCACTAGTGCCTGAAGATGATCGGTCCGAGCGGCGCCTGCCGGCGATCCGGGCCCTTTTCGTCTAGTCGCCCCTATTTTGGGCCGATGTCTCATACGATGCAAATACTGAAACCGACATCTCTCACTCCGAACAGTTCACTGCCACACGCAGGTGGCGGCACTCCTCCATCCGGGACGGCGCCACGTACTGTTCGACCCACTTCAAAAACAAGTGGGAAACAAGCACCACTTCACAAAGCTTGGTTGAGCTTAACAGCATCAATACTCGATGCTTGTTGGCCAAAAGCATGACGAAGCTCGTGGGTCAGACATGTGAAGTCTTGGGCTTGGGCGTCTGAGCGCGCGATCAACACAGCAACACCCAACTAACGTTTGATTGCGCTGGGTATGGGTTCTCATAAGGGCCTATTGAGGATGCTTTCTTTTCTATAAGCCTACCGTGTCGAATTGTGTCCTTCGTTCAATTTCCCAGTACAAGTACCGTTAACTTCTAATCTTTAATACTGTCCTTACCGCTGTCTTGGCCCGACATGAATGCCTCAGCAACGATCCGTGCTTCGTACATCCGCCAGGCGCGGATGAGCATGACCCCTCGTCCACATAGCATATCGGAGACGTTATCAATCGATCTCCAACCACGCCCCGCTTCAACCGAGAAGCTCCAATCCTTCGTTCATGTCGACCACATTGAACACCGCGAGAAATGCCACTCCGAGCGTACTTCACAGCCTACTTTCTTCGATGTCGAACGCAACGCCGATAACAGCCGGGCCTACATCGACGACCGGTATCTCGACACCACTTCGGTCATGGAATGGGACAACAACAGCTCCTTCAAAGTGCGGCTAAAATCCATGTTCACAGTCTTTCCCTACCGCGATCCTATCTACCTCGTAGCGATCATCTTCCTCATTGGCTCCATCGACCTCGTCATCAACGCCACCTTCGATCTACTACCTCGCCTCAATCCCTCCACGGAGTTCGAAACCGAAGAGACTGTCGCCGTCCCTAGTACGATATTGATCGGATCGATCTTCTTCTTCGTCGCAGGCATCTTCGACACCTTCAGTGCTCTGAATGCGGACCGCGGTACGCTTGAAACATCGAAGTTGGAGCCCGAGAAAGTCAGATACCGGCCAGCGCTCCTTGGCACACCGGAGTTCAAGTGGATACCGTCATGGGAGAAGGTTTGGGAGTTGTCGGCCACCAACTTGGCCTTCCAGGCTGGTCTCATCGTTCTCTTTGGGGGCATCATCTTTATGTTCGCTGGCATCGTCGACTTTCCCGGCATTGTCCCGGAAGAAGATCCTCTCTTTGGTTACATCGTTTTCGGGCCCCAGGTTGTACACGGCGCGCTCTTCTTGGTCGCGAACGCTATGCTGGCGTTCTCCGAACAAGAGCGCTGGTACAAGCCCAGGTTCTTCCACTCGGACTGGCAGAGTGCCATCCTCAATGCGCTTGGTGGGCTCGGTTTCATGATGGCTGGTTTCTTTCTCTTTCAGGGTGGGGAGAATGAGGAACGGGGCAAGGTGCATGCAGCTATAGCGGCAATGGCAGGGAGCTGGGCTTTCTTGGTAGGCAGTGTGATCAGGTGGTATGTTGTTTTGGAGTTCTGGTAGTGCTTACGACGACGGTGTTACTGTGACTTTTGTATCGGGATGTACCTCACTTCGTCTAATTATGACCACATTCATTAGCGTTCTTCTTTCTTGTCACGTCAGTCTAGGAAAGGCTAGACACTCTAGAGCCTACATCCGTGTTAGGTTACCTATTTTGCATGGTTCTGTCTTAGTGTAGTCGGCAACCTGTTTAGTTCTCTTGTATAAGGTCTGGTGTTCAGCGCATATTAGATAGAGATCGCTCATTCATTTATCCACTTTGTGGTCCGTCCACATCACGGGATGTTTATCGCCTCCACCTTCTGCGTATATATGAACGCCGCTCCACACCCAGGGCCCGCTCTCAGTTTCGTAACGGCCAACTTCAACGCGCGAATACGTCGATCTCGCCCAAGTTACACCAAGATCGCAGTCAACCATGGTTTATACGAAGACACGCAAGGTCTCGACGCTTGTGGAGCTGCGTGCAGATGGATACCAGTGAGTCCCATCACCAAATGATAATAGACCGCACGCTGATGAACACGCAGAGTCGCCAAGAAAATTGAACCGCTTCAAAGTACCGTCGACAATTTCACCTTTACTGCATGCCCCAAGGGACACGGAGCCCGGCGTGTAAGACTGAGGGCGCAACTGCGACGAGCTAAGGATCGTCTGTATCACACCGCTGTTGAATGCTCCCGTCTAGAATCCCCACCAATACTACAGGCCGTGCAAGATCACCTACCGCGAGAGCTGCGTGACATGGTCTACGCTGAGCTGATGGATTTCGAGAACCCGTCGTTTGACATCTGGTTGGAGGGCAGTAGATACGTACTGAAGACGACCAACAAACCACGCTCTACATTTTTCCACCGGACCAACATGGCAGCTAGTGTCGCTCGAGGCCAAGATCCTTACTACATCGACCCGTCCATCGTCGGCAAAGAGTCAGCTCTAGAGATCTTACAACTTCGTTACCGACGTGGCCAATTCAATATCCACCACGACGCGCTAATAAGCAGGGTTCTCAACCAAGATGCGTGGAAGCAGGACATCGTACCAAAACGCTGGCTCTCCAAGATTAGCATCTACATGCCCGAGGACATTTACCAGGTTGAAGAGCGTAGAATTCTACTCCGTCAGCGCTTCGACCTACTACAGCAACTCACCAATACCCGAGCACGTATCCAAGTGATCTTCCCTAGCAAAGAGATGTACTGGCATTCCCAAATTGGTCCTTCGCGTAAAGGATATGAGTGTCTACTTCCCACCGACCCAACTATACGCCAAGCCATGTTAGCTACCACTGAACGACTATCAGTCTCGAATGTTGGGACCGAGATCGATGCCGCTGTTCATAACGAGAACGTTCATATCATCATGGAGACTATATTCCCGAGCCTGATGGCATTGAAGGCTCGAGGCCACCAGATTCACTTGGACGATAGGATTAGCGGGTGGAAATGGACGGCGGGGGAGGGAAGCGCCACATTCGCTGATGCCTGGACTAATCGAAGGCGGTTTCGTAAGGTATGTCGTCAACCTGAGTCTTGTATAAGAGTGTATGGCACTAATCAGATTCAATAGGTGAAAGTCCGCGAGTATATGAGGCGATCTCCGCATCAGATGTACCCTTCGGGACGTAATCTGGATGCTGGTGAGAAGGCGGAGATGAGGGCGGAGGGTCAGATGATGTGAACACGATACCAGGAAGGGCTATAATGCGTGTCGGATTTGCAGCATATACACTGCTAAATCCTAATAAGTGATCATTTCCTAAGACGATGTATACCCCTGCTCAGATAGTGGCTTTACGTTTTGCAGAATGCAATATGAAGTGTAAGCGCTGCTTCGTCCAGGACGCGAGACTAGTAGCTTTGCCGGTTTAAATTACGTTAATCGCAAGGCTCGTTATCCGTTGAGCCCTCGGGTTGCACGTGGCGGTACATCTTATTCGGGGGCATTCTTTTGCGTGTGGGTCGTGTGAAAAGCGGGTGATATGATTGGGATCTAGTTCTCGGCCTTGGTTCGCATGGAAGATTGGCGTTTTTCAGCCAAAGTGAGCATTAATCACGTACTCACGGTAGTGTGTACCTAGGTAGAGAAATTTGAAAACATATTCAACTCTTAACGCGTCACTCAATCTTTGTTGACGCGTTCTTCGGTGTACTGGCAACGGAGCCTTTCAAAACTGCCTCTTTGGGACTAGTTTGTCAGCTAGCTGTGTGTCGCAACCCATACCTGGGTCCTTTGGTGTTTTGCGTAACACCAAAACAAATCACTCAATATATTACCCAGGTGTTCGCCATGTTCACAACCCATACCACTGGTGACCAACTCGGCTTCGTAGATGTCTTCGGACGCTCTTCGCTTGCCTCGACGGAGTATGCGCACTACCGTCTCCGAGCTTTCAGGTCAGTCAGGGCTTTCTGTCGTAACGTTGCGTAAATAACCTCAGCTAACGTCCAGGATGCCAGTCTACATGTCATTGCGGAGAGACTGAGAGCTGAGAAGGAAAGATTTGACTGTACGCTGCAAGAGCTGTACTCGTGGAAAGAAAAGCAGCTTTCGACTCTCGAGGGCATCGAGAAACGACTTGATCCAGATCCTCGAAGCGGTCCACCGTCCCTCGCAGCATCCAGCAAGGACGGAGCTACGATGAAGCTTGGTTTGGCAGAGCGTCGTATCAATGCAGAGCTTCGGAAGCGTTCCGAGATCGAACCGAAGGAACTGTACATCCACCAGACGCTCGCAGATGTCCTCGGAGGGTACGCCAAGCTCGTACACCCTGGTCTCCTCGACAGAATGTTTGGATCGCTACCAACAGGGAAGCTACCACGGGAGGTTAGGGACATGGTATACGACCATCTGCTCCCTAGGGAGAACACTTACACTATCAAGTTAGCAACAAACAACACTGGCTTCTCCATCCACAAAGGAGCACCGGACGGCACTCTACCTACTCCACCAATCGGCTGTCCATACCCCATGATATCAACCACCCACCCACTAGCTGATGAGATCCTCGAAAGATTCCATTGGAGATCGACGTTCATCATTCAGAAGTACATCTGCACGTTGCAGCCGTTGTCTATTCACGATATTCTCGCAAAGCTTCCGTGGTGGTCGAACATCGATGCGGGTGTACTCCCCATAACCATCACCGGCCGCATCACCTTCGCCATGCGTTTCGACAATAGTTGGAGGATTGAGTCAGATATCGAGAAGACTATTGGAGATTTGAGAAAGATCGTGAACTCAGCCAGTCTCGGCGTAACTGTCTCTCTTTCGATTTTTCCTGCTGATAGTAAGCGCGGCGCTGAGTTCCTCGATCTAGCAAAACCACTCTTGCTTGAGTTGCAGGAGAAGGGCCACGAGATTCGCATGATCGACTTGGCTTGTTGGACAAAGATGCACAGACGCAAGGAGCCGCCAACATGATGGCGGAGTGCTGTGTTTCTTGTAGTCTGGCTCGGATGCGTCTAGGTTCCACACGCGACTGCCGTGGGACTCGTGGTGTGACGTGGGGAGAGACTGTAGATGTGGGGTCTTGGCAGGCGGAAGAAGCCGAGGTTGTGGATGAAGTACGTCACGCCGGGCTTGCCGTGTTCACATCATCAATCAATCAATACGACAGCATGCTTGGCGGAACACAGCCTCTGAAATCTCATCTTGTGCAGTTCTTTGAGCACTGCCAGCCAGACTGAGCAACTGCTTGCGTGCTTTTTCTGGTTATCGCAGCCATGTCTCGCCCAAACATCAACGCGCCAATACCCTCATACGAAGAAGCCGTCGTCGCGCCTCCGCCCACCACAATACCACAACCTCCTTCCGAACCCGCCGTTGCCGAACAACCTGCTGTTGACCCAGAGCCAACACCCACCGTCGTACCAGCATCGCCTCCGCCCGAGTTACCGCCCGCATACGCCACCGTCGACGAGAAGGCCACGACCTTCACCATCTACGGCACCTTCATCCACACACCCAATGCGCCCGCCTACCAACTATCCTCCCTCCTCGATGCGCGAATCAACAAGCTGCGGATACGCAGGCTAAAGGCCGAAGAGATCACGTTCCTTCAATCCGGCGCACCGACCGTCGCCTTCGACAGCAGCAGCGTGCTATACGAAGCCCACGATCCACCGTTCCTTATCAACGAGTACTACATCCAAGGCAAAGCAGGGAGCACACTACCCGGCGCTTTACAACTGCGCTTCGGACTGCGCCGGTGGCATGTAGTGCATATGCCCACGCAGGGCAGTCGACCGAACGAGATTATGACTTGTGGGAAGCCAGGCGGATTCACAAAGGCACTGAAGCAGAGGAAGAACGAGCTGGAACCTAGCCAGTGGAAAGACAGTGAGGGTCATGTCGTTGCGACGGAGGTGTTAAAGATGGGACCTGGAGGCAAGATGCCGACGATAGAGCTGAGGCATGATCTAGACCAGACATGTCGGGAGTTGATATTGGCGCTTTGGGTGGCTCGGCTGTGGGCGGCTTTTGGGGCGGGGAGCGGATATGCTCATTGAGCTTATCATCACAATTTCAACTGATTCATGCGCATTTTAGAATCCGCTCCACGTCGAAGACGCGATTCGATCTGGAGCGAATTCTAAAATGCGCATGAACTAGTTGAACTTGGTGCACATCACGAGAAGAGACATTACAGCCAGGGCACAACACAGCCACCGTCAAACCATCTTATCATTGACGCAACACCACCACTTCCGTCAAAGCAACGCCCCTACTCGCTACGAACAACCCTCTTGAATCCCTGCTGCGCAACCTGGTCCTGTGCCGCCGCAATCACCGCATCCGCATTCGGGTCCGTGAATCCACAACCCGTCTTTCCGTTCTGCTGGCTAGCCGCCTCAGCAGAGCAGACACCGTCGCCGGTCGCGGCGACCTGACTGCAGCAGGCGGAGCTGCAGTCGGCATCCGAGACGCAGCCGCCGGTGATGAACTGCGAACCGTCGCCCGCGCCGACGTTCTTGGCGCCTGCGTTGTTGGGCGTGACTTGCGCCATGGAGACGGCGGCCACTGGGGGGGAGATGTTAGTATACCGTGTCTTTGAGTTTCTGACTACTAGTGTGGGTGGAGGTATGGGGAAGCTTACGGGTGAGGAGAGTAGCGATGGAGAAACGCATATTGCTAGTTTTGGGTATCGAAATATAATCGAGAGGTAGAATATGTATAGTACGTTTGAACGAATGACACCAGGTCAGCTTTTGCAGTCACAGACAGCAAAGAAAGAATGGAATAGAAGTGGGTTGTTGTAGTGCGAAGAAGATGTTGCTTGATGGTCTTCCAACACAATGGGCGAGACAGCCTTCTTATGCCTTTTCCTCAGGCACCCGCGATGTGCGACCCCGCAGTACGCTTCCAGTGCATCGTGTCATGCTCTCCGTGGCGCTGAGGCTGTCGTTGTGTGATCGCCTTGTCGCCTGCGAATCCAGGCGCCGGGTGTCGGAGGCGAGGTATCTATAGTGGAAGCGCATATATCGTGCATGATTCATGCTGTTGGTTGACTTGCACCTGGCTTGTACTATTGAGCGGTTTGCTGGTGACGCGTCCTCTGGGTGATATGTTCTGGCCTATCAGCGGGGTCAATGCCGTGGCGGATGGGTCTCGTTGTGCTGTCGCAGGAGGCGTTTCAGAGTGGTTCACGTGATCGGAGGGTGTGCGGAGTGTGTCAGATGTGTCGGATGGCTTGGCGGGGGGTTTGATGTTTGACAGAGGTTGACATCACGAGAATTTATTGATGGTCTCTCCTACCGCAATTGCCCACCACCATCTGTGCCGTCACGACGCGGGTTGGTGCAGTGCTATGCTGCATCAGTTGGAGAACTGTGCACTCTCACCAACATCAACGACCTGGTGCCCAGGACTGGGCGGCACATCGCCTGACTCCCACACAATCTGTTGTTCTCCGAGCTTGAAGACAATCTCGCCTCCCTCTGTCATGATGCCGCCCGCGTCTTCATGCTCGAACCAGTTCTTCCCCCATTCCTCTCCGTTAATGCTCACGCCCTGGACGTAGTACCCCTGCTTTCCGCCTCCATCGTCTAGACCCTCGGCCCTGATCCTCAGCGTCTTGTCATGATTGACAGTAATGTTGATGTCGGAGAACCAAGGACTTTCCAGGAGATATACAGGCGTAGTGACTATAGGATACAACCCTAGCATCTGCCAGATGAGCCAGCAATTCAAGGCACCCGCGTCGCTGTTCCCCGGTATACCGTTGGTGGTGTTGAAGTAGAAGTCATTGGCGAGCTGGCGGCTTCGCTCCACGCTCTTCCACTGCTTGTTGAGGTAGTTGTAAAGGTAGGGTGTTTCAAAGTCGGGTTCGTTAGCGACGTTGTTGATGGTCGTGATACCAAGTCCGTTTACGCCGAGGTCTACGCCAGACGTGTTTGGTTGGAAGACGTAGTCGAGACGGTCTTCAAAGTGCGAAGGACCACCCATCAGCGTGATAACGCGCGAGATGTCGTGGGGAACGACGAAGGAATACTCTAGCCTGCTGTTAGTGTGCAAGTAGAAGATGACCACATGCAGGCAGTGACTCACCAAAAGCAGTGCCTTCGTAGCTCTCATCCTCCCAGTTACAATCGCCGCAGTCAGTAATGTCGTAGGTCTTGTGGAAAGTGCCGTTCGCGTATCGCGGCATAACGAAGCCTGAAAAGTTGCGACTCGCAGACTCAGGATCCCAACTCATCTGCCAACCTGCGGACCGACGAAGGTAGAAGTCACGGTTGCCAGGCGCCTCACCAGCTGCGATCTGGCTTACGGCAAAATCGTTGAGTGAGTACTCTACCGTTTTTGAGACTGCACGCGTGCTACGATCAGCCGAAACGTAGCCGAGTTCTATCCAGTCTTTCAGCGCACCACGTCCTTCTTTCAGGGAGCCGTACGGATCGACTGGGTTCTCGTCGAAGAAAGGCAAGACGTCTGCATCCTTCTTGACTGCTGCATAGCCTTCCGTCCAGTTGATCATACCAGTCAAGCCCTTGACGTAGGCATCTGCCAGGACGTTGTCGGCGTTTGATCCTCCCTGGACCAGACCGTTGTAATTGCCAGATCGACCATCTGGAAGGTAACCTTCTTGCTTGAACATGTCGATCAGAGAGCGGATCATAGACTCGTAGTAGCTTGGCTGAATGAGGTGCCAGAGCGAGACCTGGTTTCGGAACAGATCCCACATGGTGTAAAAGTCTTGTACACTAAGTCAGTATATGTCTCATATGCATTTCGTACAGTCAGGACTTACCATCCCAATATGGCTCATCTGATTCCCATAGCGGGTTCTCGCCTACACGCTCGCTGGGTATAAGGTGCATGAAATACAAGCTGGAGTATAGCAACGCCAGCCTGGTCTTGTTTGCCGACTCCGAAGTGTCAACGCGAATCTTGGAAAAGACATCGCGGTTCCATTCGTCACGCGTCGCTTGCGCGGTATCCCCGATTGACCACGAAGAGAGCTCGGCGTTCTTGTACGAACATGCCTTGTCAACGGACATGAAGGAGATGCCTACTCGCGATTTGATCTCGGTGGCATTAGTCCAAGTGAAAACTGCCCCAACGCGGTCGTTCATCGGCCCTGACCGGGCTGTTGATCCAGTATACGTAGGCCGAGGTGTTGTGCCATTATTGAACGACCGGAAGTGTCGACTGACAGGGAATGTGTTCTTCCCCTTGAAAGCACGTGCCTCGTCAGGCAGGCTATCGAATTCGCCGCACACGTACACGGTGACTGGTGCCTAAACGTAGGTGTACGAAGTCAGTACATGTCTCACATGCAGTTCGTACAGCGATATTCCTTACACCAACGTTCCACCCACCTGCTATGGATGTGTAGCCAGTATATGTGCTGTTGTTCGGTTGAATCTCAATCTCGCCGCCTGTGTAGAATTGAGAATCCCATGAGCGTGTCAGATGGGGTAGGTAGTGCGACAGGTCAACCAGAACGTGCTTCTCGGACGAAGACGGATATGTGTAATGGTATAATCCTGCGTGTCGAGAGGCCGCGAGTTCGACCTTGACACCAGATTCGAGCTCGGTACGAAAGTAGCCAACTTGCGCAACGTCTTCGCCAATCTAGAAGCCTGTCAGAAGCTGACCATACGTCACATTTGATGACCCTACTCGATCCTGCCAGTAAGTCCGATTGTCCAGCAAATTGACATCGCCATCAATGCTCGTCAGCGGCATCTGTGAGGGGTATCCATATTTCGATCCTCCGCCGGTTCCTGACTGGTGCATCAAGCTGATGCCAGTCACATGGCCTTGAGGTGTATATCCGCCGTTGAGCGCACTCTGGTTGATGGGCTCTTCATACGTGTCGATACCCAGTTTGACCATGCCAAATGGTACTGCGCCACCCACGAATACATCACCGCCACCGTCTGGTATCAGTTAGAAGTGAGCTTGATGCATATTTCTGGGCATCTTGCATGCGTAGCCAGGTATTGCGCCTTCAGTCCCGATGAATGGATTCACGAACTGCGAATAATCGACGTCTTGTGCTATTGCGCATGGCGCAAGTACCAGCAGAGACAATAATCGGGTTCCCAACATCTTGAGGGCAATTGATGTAGACGGACGAGTTGTAGTTTCTTTTACCTCTTATGCGTCCCAGCCGTTGGTGCACCGCTTTCCAAGGTACCCCGCATGCGCGCATCGCTCCCCAGGCGGGCGTTGTCGGTTTCACACCCTGATTGAGCTTTAAGGTTACATCGTCAATGAATCCTTCGTCGATAAAGCCGTTGCAGCGGGTTATGACGTTGGCTCTCGGGTCCCTCTTCCCCGTCAGGCACCTGCCAAGATGCGGAGACGGCACGTGATGTGGCACGTGCGCACTCTCGGAATCATCTTCCGAGGGAAAGGACGCGTCTTTCATCGACTCTATCAAACTCCCAACTTCACTTCGTTGGCGCTCAACAAGAACGCATTCTCTTCTTCGATGAAACGTATGTGTTGAGCGATGCACCACGACGGCATTTGCTTGTCCCAGCGCCCCTTCAGTCAGACAAGGACCACCTACTGGCCACACCTTTCGCACCAACCCCGACCGATTGAGCCGACTCCCTCCAAACCTCAACGTTGTGTACATGACAACATTACATTAACACCAATGGTCAAGACACATCGCTTGTCTTTGTGCTGAATCCTGAAGCCTATCTTGTTAGGCCCATCAGGCATGTGCGTCACTCAGTGTGAGCATCGGAGCTCCTCACATGTCTTCCTCTTTCGAGTTTGATCTACGAGATAACATGTCGAACCTTATGCATGCGTGTAGGTCATCGCTGCGAAAACCAAAACTCCGAGGCAAATGCATCGATCGAAGTCGTCTGGAAGTGCCGGCTCTCTAGTATTCTGGATGGTGGGCTCCAACGCATAAGTTTGGGCCCTAGCGCAGATGCCCTACACTACACAAAACATGAAGTTGACGTAGAGAGAATTTAGGAGGGGAGATGGTGTTGATTTAGTCGATGGCGAGTGTGAACCCGAACGAGCTAGGCTGGCCGATCTGCTCCGCAAACTTTGTCTTCGATCCCAGCTGCCTAGTTGCTGGTTGGCCTACAGAGAAAGGTTTAGATCCCGAAACTTAGACATGGAGAATACGCCACCCTCCATGGGAAATCGACGAACGCGGTCAGCGCATAGGGCGCATGCAAGCATCCTGAACTCTCATGCCTACGCCCGGCGGGTAATTCGAGCGCGCCACTCCCTTTGCAACCGCGACGACCTGGTCACGAATAGCTGCTTCTTAGCACACAAGTGACTCGTAAAGATGTTCATTCAGGCCAACTGCGGCTGTGTGGACCGAAAACACAGCGCTGACAACAGAGTTTACAAAGGCTGCAAAGCGCTGCTGATGCACTACAGGATACCGTTAGGGTGTTTTCACGCCCTGCATCGTGAAAATGAACCATTACTATATCAACTTGTAGTGTAAGCTACCCAACACCCGTACATCCGCTTCAGAGCGATGTCCAATTCGTCGGCAGTGTTTGTAACGACTAGGAGCGACGAACCAGAGGTGCTCGGTCGACTTGTCTAGTAGTAAGTCCACTTGCGGTAAGGCAAGCGACAGTTAGCTGTACAAGGCTGTTCGCCTCGTCTTTGAACTTACACCAAAACCAACATCACCAGTCCAGATCACGATGCGTCACACTCTTGTATCGATTGGCTCGTCGCTAACGATGAATGCGGGGTCTTGGGTAGCAACTATCGTGACGACAGGCACATTGCTGCCATTTGTGAAAGAGGTGCAGACACACGCGCAGCCTACCAAGTACGTCGAAGTGGCTGATCTGCCGTTGGCACCTCACTCACTAGACCACAAACACTATCTCATGTGGGCGGAAACAGTCACCCTATGAATGAACATCTTTATGAACAGTTGGCCGCAACTTCGTTGCGCAATGTTGCCACAGCATGTTGCTGCCATGCGACTACGTTTGCAGTGGTTGCGATATCCCTACGTTGCTGCATTGGGGGTAGTTGACTTACCTACCGCAACCCCTGCCAACGTTTGCCCAGCGCATACTCATCAGACTAAGGTGCGATGTTGCTGGGTCCAACCTCCTCCCGTTGCCTTCGTGGTCATAGGTTTACCAGCATCCCCAAGATAAGTCCGAGCGCGGCATGTTCCAGATCGTCCAAAACCGCGGCTGTCGATTGCGCACTCGGCATTCATTGAACTTTATCAGAATAAAGGGTGATGACCGAGCATCAGTCTATCCGCGCGCTGGCCCTAGTGCGACAATGGAAGCCGACCCACTCTTGCTAGGGAACAAGATTTGCGACTACAATCGAATGCACCCTGGCATCAATCTACACAAGTCCCGCTCATGACCTGAAAACCGCGATGGTATGACTGCCGGGACAGACGGGCCCTTTGTTAGCGCGCGTACCAAGCGGCGAAGTGGGAGGGATCTCCGCTCTCGGGCCGTCGTTCACTCAAGCCAATGCGAAGTGCAAAAACCGCGATTGGCCACGTATCTGGAAAATGACGAGGGTGCACGCCGACGTGATACTTACCGGCTCTTGCTTCAGGCCCGAGTCAGACAAGCCTAAAGCACGTACCAGAAACGTTCACACCGAGACGAGGTTTGACCAGCGAATACCCACATCTTTGAGATGGTCTTGGGCAAATAGGCATAAAACTTCCAGTGAATTGCATACCTGACAAACACGATATCGCGATAGCTTCTGCGATCGAGCTCGGCGAGATCTTCGCCGCACCCTGGCATGCGGAAGAGTCTCAGGCACTAGCCTATCGTATAGTTTGTGCCTTACATTTCGACATCCGCGGAGCATCCTTACCTATAGATTGTACCCTCATCCCGGAGGAACGCAGCCCTTTTTGGATGGAACTCCGTGGGACGTTGATATACCTATACCGACTGGACGTTCCCATCGTATCCGACTCCTCGGTCCCCCGCGAGCGCGATCAAGATGTCCACCCAATTCGATAACTGGCGCAGTGACCCGAGTGAGTCGCACTCGATGTTGATGGCCGTCTCGACATGGTCACTTGGTGGAGTCTCTTTCGCCTTTTTGGTTGTTCGCTGTTGGATCCGTCGTTCCCAGAAGAAGTTCTGGTTTGACGACATTGTACTCATTATCAGCTGGGTAAGTAAGGCGAAAGGTCGAACTGAATCATGGATCGCTGATATACCACAGTTTATGCTCCTTGGTCAACTCATCTTGAACCAACTCAGCATCAACCTCGGTTTTGGAAAGCATGCGCTCGACAGTAAGACTTCGCAAAGAAGACTTCATTCAACCTATCTCTGACCTTCTGGCTAGTTGACTTCAGCCACTTCGAACGTATCACGTACTATGGCGCATCCGCGCTCACCTTTTCTATCACGGGCATCATCCTTAGCAAGATCTCGTTCGGGCTCACCTTGCTTCGGTTGACTGACGGATGGCTGAAGGCCTACGTTTGGTTCGCTATCGCTACCCTTGCCTTATTCGCAATACCAGTTGCGGTCCTCCCCTGGGTACTGTGCAAGCCAATAACGAAGACCTTTGTTGATATCCTTCCCGGCACATGTATCGACAAGGAGCCTTCCGTAATATACGGAAGATTCCAGGCTATATGGGCTGCCATCATGGATATTTCTCTAGCATTGTTGCCTTGGAAGGTCCTCTGGAATCTACAGATGCGCACCGCGGAGAAGATCGGAGTTGGTGTTGCCATGAGTCTGGGTATCTTGGCGGGAGTCACATCTATTCTCCGAGCCAGATACGTCGAACAGCTCCAGACCCAGGATCTTTCCTGTAAGCTATTGACGCTCTCTATCTGAAACGAGCTAACCAAAGCAGACCAAGCGTATAACTCCGTCATTTGGTCAACAGCAGACACGGCCATGACTGTTGTTGCCACGTCCATCCCGGTACTACGTGTCTTCTTCAAGCAAGCGGTCAACACGGCCATCTCACATTACCACAACTCAACCAACCGAAGCAACAAATCGAAATCTACTGGAACTGGAAGCACTCCTTCCAACCCTATCAACAACGCAAGCACACTTGCGAATCAAAGTGCACGACGATTGAACAAGAACACATCACGTACATTGGAGAACACGAGCACAGATTCATTATTCAAAGACGACGACCTGGAGCGTGGCCCCAAGGAGGGTTACATTGAGTTGGACGATCTCATTGTTGACGAGAAGACTGGAAGGGTTTCGGCCGCAACACCCGAGTCATTGCCAGAGTCCATGTCACGGGCGCACCTACACGGTGATGATTGGCCCTTGGCAGACCATATTCAGACGCACATAGAAGACATACGGAGGTTGTAATGGAGCTTACGGGTAATTGACAATCACGAATAATGCCATAACGAAGATGTTTGCTCACCAATTCTCGGCCGCGAATTGGCATCACCCTGAATTCATTCTCCATGACTACTGTTGAGTCTTGTTAATTATCCTAGCCATCGCATTACTTTCTTCGAGCATTCAGAACATGAGTAATGAGAGGCGAGAGGACCCTGAAGACCGACTCTCGTCGGAGTCTTCTCATTCGCCTTTGCCCGGTTCCTGACTCCGCTCCCTTCCGGCTAGCGGCATCTGATCTACAGGCCCGCCTCCACGCTGCGGCAGGTTCCCAGGTAGCGCCACTGCACGCCCACCACCATGACAACGCCTAGCGTCCCCGGATCCCAAATCGCACTATGCGCGCATCAGGGGCCTTGTCGCCCTTGCGACCGATGGGATCGGAATCATCTACCGACCAATCGAAGATGACGTGATGAGTCGACCGACATTAGTCGATATCTTAATCGATGTCTCTAGCATGTCAGGCGCATATTCAAGGCTGCACCACCACTCTCTTTTCCTAACTTCGGCCCTTCCGTCGGTCGTTCATTTGTAGAACAGAGTCATTGTTCTACGCTCGCGCAGAAGGTTTGCCATCTCATCAGCGACGTACATGATCTCAGCACGATGATCAGGCACACCACTCCTGAATTAAACTTCCGCTACGAAATTCGCCATGGTTGATTGGTGGCGTTCATGTCATTCGCCGTGAACACCTCAGACTGTTCGCATATAATAGACCTTCAACTGCCAAATTGCTTTTCACCCGTCACCGATACATACGCTCCTTAGTCTTTGTATAGTTTCAGTCGCAAGCATGAAGGCATCCATTCTATGCGCTACGCTCCTTTCATCGGCAGTTCTTGCCTTCCCCGCCAACCTCCTCAACAACCTCCCTGCTGATCTCAGCGATGAGGGGCTCGCAGAGATCACAGAGCTGGCGGCAAAAATCACCAGAGCGGTCGAGGATATGCCGGCCAACTTGGCCAAGCGACAACTTGGTGCTAGCATCCTACCACCGGGATTCGATGCGGATGCTCAACGCATCAGCACCACGGGTGAACACCGTTATGTAGGTGGACTCTTGGGATGGAAGACTTGTTCTTGCATCAATTTCTAACACGTCCACCTACAGATTGCACCAGGCAAGAATGATCTTCGCGGACCTTGCCCAGGTCTGAACGTCATGGCGAACCATGGCTATCTCCCCCGCAATGGAATCGCATCCGTCACGCAGTTGACTACTGCATCGAACGAAGGTACGCATGTTGTCACTGGATTGTCAGCCAAATTGCTCACAGCGCCGTAGTTTTCGGTATGGGTCTCGAGCTCTCCGCTTTCCTGTCAGTCCTTGCTACCGTCATGGGCGGCGACATTGTCTCGTCTTCCATCGGTGGCCCGCCCAGTGGGGGCCTGCTTGGTGGACTCACCACGGGACTTGGTCTCGTTGGAAAGCCGCAGGGTATGAGCGGGACACACAACCGTTTCGAGGCTGATTGCTCTCCCACACGAGAGGACCTGTACAAGAACGGCAACCCGGTGTCCCTCAATCTCCCTCAGTTCGAGGAACTGATGGCCATGCCTATCGGCCCCAACGGCTACGACCTCACTGTCATGCATCCTTTCCGTGGCTCTAGATACAACAACTCCGTCGCTACCAACGGACACTACTGGGCTGGACCTCTGACCCACTACGCTATCAACACTGCGACCTACCTGTTCACCTTCCACTTCTTCTCGAACCACTCTGCAGATTACCCATCAGGTTATCTCGACGGAGAAACCCTCAAGTCGTTTGAAGGCGTCACAGGACAGAAAGGCAGCTTCAAGTGGGCTCGTGGTCAGGAGAAGATTCCCGAGAATGTAAGTTTGCTCTGCATGCATCATCAGCGGTCGAAACGTACTAACACTTACTGCAGTGGTACCGCCGCGCCATTGGTGATGACTACGGGATCGCAGCCTTCACCCTCGATGCCGTAGGCGCACTCCAAGCTCTTCCCTACATGGCCGTCGTCGGTGGCAACACTGGCGAGCCCAACACCTTCACTGGCGTCAACATCGCCGATCTCACTGGTGGTGTCTTCAATGCCGAGACCCTGCTCGAAGACAATAACCTTATGTGCTTCGCATTCCAGGCTGTCAACTCTGCCAGTCCGGATATCTTGAAGGGTCTCCTCGGCAATGTTCTGCTTGCTGTGCAGAAGTTGACCGATGCCCTGAATCCTATCCTTGCGAAGCTTGGCTGCCCTGACCTTGCCAAGTATGACAAGTCTTTGCTTGCCAAGTTCCCGGGTGCTGGTGCTGGAATTTAGTTGGGTGTGAGAGGATGACTGCTATATGATACCAATACCTACTTCACTTCATATGGTGTATTAATACCTACTTAATGAATATCATCAAGACTTAATGAAGCGCAAAGCAAAGATCCCGTTGACCTTCGCGTCCAAACGTGCCACAGCCCTTCCGTCTCTTGTGAGAGACTGTCGCTGAACAACATAGTGAAGCGTTGTGGAGGACAGAGATCATAGGCTGAATGTATCGAAAAGTAGAGAAGTCCAGATCCAAGAGAATCATGAAACTGGAGTCGGATAGTGGCTGAAACCGGCCGTCATTGCACCGAACCCCTTCGCGGGCGTACAATCACGTCGGGAAGACATACCATGGAAGAGGCCGGAGCCTCTATCATTGGCATGATGCTCACCTGCTGAGGGCGTGCATTCGCAACGCGCGAACGTTGTAAATGAGATGATCAGAGCCCACCTCCTCAGTGGGTCGGGCCAATCTCGGGCTATGACCGCTAGTGGCGTCATGACTGCTCCCAGTCCGTACACACTTCAACCATCACCAGTACGCACATTCAGATCACCATCTTCGAAACGTATGTCGATAAAGTCCTTTAATGAGCCCTATACCGCTGCCTGGATTTCAGGCTGCTGCAGCATCGCCCTGTCGCCTAATCCTCTCGTCTCTTCGAAAGCACGCGCCCATGTCTCGAAGAGCCAATCTCATCTGGGCATCCCTTTGGAAGAGCGTTAACAGCTTGACAACAAACGGTTTGTCATACGTCTTGCTCCTATCGGCAGCATTGCGATAGCTGACCGGTTCTTGACCTGCTGTTCACGAAGCCGTGCAGATGATATCTTACTCGAACGGCCTTTCAAGCGTGCCCTTCCTTCCGGACGGCATGGAACCCGAGCAACAGTAGGTTACGAGGAGCAAATGGCGCGAAGGTTACTACGAGAAGAGACATCGAATTTAGTCACGATGCGCTTAGATTCCGTCCAAGACATCCGCATCGTATGTTTTGCGTACTTGGCGAACGAGAACCCGCGACAAATTAGCGATGCGTATCTTGGGCTCATCAACCTTTGCACCCATGCTCATGCTAATTCGGGATGTACACTTCGCAACTCGATCATCCATTTGAACTGAATGTTTACAGCATGCGTTGAGGCGTGATGCTTCCAAGGCGCCGAGTCGGCTGTTGGTGTGGGCCAAGGTGCGCGAAACCCAGCACGCGTTACAAAGATGCATCATGTATCGGCAGGACATCTTCCAGGCCAACACCAAGCCTTGGTGCTAAGGCATCCACGTACGCTGTATCACCACATGTGGCGAGTATATAACCAGATGGAAGAGGCGCTGTTTGAGGCTCGGTAGGAATAATTCGCTGTTGACCAGTCCTTTCTCCAACACACTCATTCATACTTTCGCTTCTTTCGCTTCTCTTCTACACGTTCTTTTGACAAGACATCTATCGCATACCTTTTTTCAATACACGCTTCTTGAAAACCTCATCATACCATAATGTATACCGTCGCGTTGATCACCATTGCAAGCCTGGCGCTGAGCGCAACCGCCGCGCCAGTCGCAGCATCACCTCTCGACATCGGCAACGGTCACATGCAGCTACAGATCAACATCGACCTGACCGGTAAAGACGCCGTCGCAGCCAATGCTATCGATGCTCAGCAGCTGTTCGCTTTCTCCTCCACCCACTTCGTTCATGCCGTCCCGGAGGAGGTCGTCAACGGCACCGAACTAACCGGTGGTCTCGCCGGCGCATCCGGCACCTTCAACTTCGGCATCAACAGCGCCTCCAACATGATCTGCTACAACATCACGCTGCACAACTTCCAAGGCGAATTCGACTCCCCCGCGACTACGGCCACGCATATCCACGAGGCCGCGCGCGGTGCTAGTGGACCACCTAGAATCTCATTCCCCAACCCGGAGCTTGTAGAGGGAAGCGATACGGTTAGGAACAGCGCAGGATGTATCAAGGGCCCGTTTACGACTGGTGTAATGGTTGAAGGAAAGGATTCGGGCGAGGGCTTCCATGTTAGCATGATTGAAGCCAACCCGGCGGCTTTCATGGCGGACACTCATTCTAGCTTGGCGCTACCTGGTGCAGTTAGGGGACAGATGGCATAGTTGAACCGTTGATCTTATTTCACTCAATAATTGTAATGCAAACTCTGTACACGTTGTGATAGTACCTGCGGAATGACAAGTGATAAGTCCTAAAAGCTTCTATCATCCACAGCAATCATGCCTTTTTCGCAGCGGTCTTTCGCTCGTTATCTTCCACACGAATTATTGGAACGACGCTGATGCGCATACCCCTGTACTTTTTCGTGAACCAACTTTCGGTAATTGCCTTGTTCCATTCCGTTGTCGAACTTGCAGTACGCCCCCATCTCAGTATTGCAGAACCAGAAAGGGCATAGAAGAAGTGATTCAGCGTGATACCTTCAGGCTCAGAGATCTTGATGACTGTGGGTTTTTCCTTGTTCGGCTGATCATCGTGAAGCCTATAGCTGACGTGTAATTCGATCTCCTTGAGTGGAGGCCACGTTATGAACATTCGTCGCCAAGATGCGTCTGGATTGGGCAATCCAATCCGTCTGTTGAGGGTACGAAGGAGGTGCCAGCACCTGATGTAGGGGAGTTTGGGGTTGTTGAAAGCAGCAATGGAGCTAGACTCTGGTAATCCGAAGAAGCGACTCAGAAGAGGGTGTGCGATACAGTCGGCGAGTACTTCCGATCTGGTGGGACGACTGTCACCATGATCCAACCATTTCTTTTCTAGGAAGGCATCCCTTAGGTTTGAATCGATCTGCTCTGCCATAGATTGCCGGTACCGAAATAGTGTCTTGGAAGTATTTTGATTGTCCCTGATCAGTTCGCACCAACGCTTTGAGATGCGCTCGTAGCGCAACAGGTCTTCGACAGGTAGCATGGAGAGGGTCCATTCAAGCATCTCCACTTTAAGCAGAAAGGCTTCCATGATGTAGGTGGTTGTTCGATGTGGAGGGTTATTCGTGCACTGCACAGCAGAACTTATGCTTCAAACAATGTTTGCTGCAAGCGCTGCCTGGAAGCGACATGAACCTGCCAGCAGCATCGCATTCCGGTTAGCTAGTCTGCCTTCTCTAGCACAGCAACCTTATCATCCGCTCTCCGCTCGAGAGCCGCCCGTCTCCTCAGATACCAGATCTGCACAGCATATCCCACGACTAATGCCAAACCCAATACGAGCATGGGGACTAGCAGCCAACGAACAGTTTTCTATATGTCACGTCAGTCAGCATCCGCTATTCCAATCTATGTTCTCGATTTCAATCTTACAGTCTCCACACACGCCATCCTCCTTGCCGCATCATCCGTTTTCCGTATGACAGGTAGCATAACGCAGGTCGCTAGCTCACGCGTGCATGTGAATTCGTCGTTGTATTTCGTCAACACAGTCGGTATTTGACAACGTTTGGATGACTGGTAGTGTAAAATCGTGGACCATATCGCGGATGCAAGTGTGCTGGCGAACGATGTGACTGCAAGTACCACAGTTGTGATGTACACGATATTGCCTCGAAAAGGATGTTGCGAATTCTGGAAGCGTTGTAAGCCCTGATCAAGATACAGCCATCGCGAAGAATAGTACCTGTGTATTTTCTTCCATCACGGCTCTGGGCTTCGCTCGCAAAATCCAGATACTAAGTACACTTGCCACGACGCCCAATACCGCTCTCGCAACGGCTAGTCTATCATATGTTTCGTTGTAGTCAACAGCGATCCACTGCTGAGTCGTCTGATGCTCGTCATATGTTCCATCTGTTCCTCTCCAGATGTACCAAGCGTCAGCGGGGAAGTATTGAACCAAAAGCCATTTCGCGTGACCAGTGAGACCGAGGGTGCCAATGGATGCGATCAAGAGTAGGATGGAGCTTATGAAGAGTATGCGATGAGATAGGCTGGAACAAGGCATCTTGGTGTTGGCGCTGTGAATGTCGAAGGAGGCAGAAATGGGCGTTCGCGATGAAGAAAAGAAAGCGAAGTCCAAGTATGAGAGGATTCCACAGTCTCGAAGAAATTAAGCCCCTAGAATTACTTCGTATTGAATGCTAGCATCACCGACTACCCACAGTCTCAAAGACCTGCGTTCGGCCAGACCTCGGTAGAGACGTATGTCCGTGGCTGTACCCTATCATACTGTGAGATATACGTCGATGGGAACCATTGCAGGAAATGAAGGACTACAGCCCCCTATCGTGTAGCGCATGTACGAAAAGAACCACAGCAACTTGACAGAATCTGATTCATGTCAGCTGTATGCGCAGCATCTACATTTGTTGGTGTTGATGTGGTGAGCAGGCTGGCCTATGGAGCGGCTAAATTGCCGGATCATGTCAGCACCGCTTTGATTTGCGGGGACCAGATCGAGGCCTACATAAGCGCAGCAGCACTGCCACTTCAGGGCGCTGACTCGGGGTCAGTAGGGCCAGTTTTAGTGGCACTGCGCAGATGCTGCCTTGCTGACTGTCGAACATAGACTCAAAGTAAGGGTTGCATGCTTCGTGTGATCGGTGGGTGCGCTGTCATTCATCGCCATGGGGCAACTTCGTCTCGAGGCATTGGCTGAACGTCTTACCCCTATGGTTTGGGTTGACAGCTAGCAGCGGTACGTCAGCCGACCAGACGATGCATTACTGCCAAGGCAGTTGCATACAATACTACACCGCTGCCCCCTTGGCCACTTTTGTGGCCTATTCTGCGCTTCTCCCTGCTTTCCATCTTCATCGACGGCCCTCTACTTCGTGGACCAAGACGCCACCCAATTCGGCGGTGCCATGCTGCCCATCAAGTTCGCCTCCATTTATGGTGTGTCCGTATTTTGTCGCCGTGTGCGTATACGCTTGCGCATCAGGATATCCGTTCCTGGTCATCTCCGGCGTGCCATACGGATTGATAGAATCACCGTCGCTCGATGGGACAGAAGTACCAGCGGAGTGGCGCTTGGAGCGCTTGAGGATGTATAAGATGGCGACACCGGCGAATGCGATGACCGCAAGCCCCCCGACGACGCTTCCAGCGATCACGGATGTGTTGTTTAAACGACTGCTACCGCCAGCGGGTTGATCCTGCTCGCCGGCCGGGCTCGACGTTGGGGACGGGGTAGGTGCCGAGATGGACGGGTTGCTATTCGATGCAGGTATACTGGAGGCTGCCTGTTGGGACGCGACTGACGTTGAGTCCACTACAACACATTAGTAATAAGTCAAATATAGCATTTGCGCAATGTCACGTACCATTGGCCGGAAGCGCTTGGTAGAGTGTCGTCGACATCAACGGATGGCTGCCTGTCCAATCGCAGTAAATACGCGTGTACGCGTCGGAAGCGCCAAAGGTGGTGAACATAATGTCCGAGTAGCAAAGCCCATAGTCTCCGTCGCTGTTCAGCTGGTTAACATGGCGGAGTCCACGCGCAATACATACAGCTCAACTTACCAGGTACTAGTTACACCTCCAGACCCGTACACCGTTGTATGTGAGCAGCTTGTCCATGCCTCACAACCTGTCTTCGGTAAAGGAGAAGTCGTGGTAATTCCATCAACTTCGAAAGCGGATGACGCTTTGCACGATTGATACAGGCTGCCTGTTGTAAAGAGGTAGCCGTCGGATTGAGGGAAAGTCTTGATCGACCCTATTTCCAGGTCAGATAAGCGCATCTCGAGATCGAGCATGCATGCCAGTGCACTTACAGACTGGCTTATTATCTTGCGTGCCGATGAGCTCGTATCCCATAACCACGATGCCATTTGCAGGACCTTGCCTTGGGAGCATTGCAGGAGCTGTTGGTGCAGGCATTGGGGCATGTATCAGTGCCGCAGCAGCGACATTGATAGATACCATTCGCAAGAGGAAAGAAAACATGGCGATATATGGAGAGGGTCGTATGGCACAGAGCACCCAGGACATGCACTGCTCACGTCGGTGGAAGAAGAGCGACAGAGACGCTCTCAAGGTCCGCGACCTCGTCGCAAAGTGGGTTTTGTCTTTTGGACCCCAACCATCGTGTCATTTCAAGTACGCCCGACTATCACGACATCCTGGTCGTGTTCGACGGCTGTGAGTGGGTGCACGAGGCGCAGAAACACGATTGAGGTTTAGGGGATATGCGGGGCGTAGCCTTTGAGCACGGGCAGCGTTGGGCCGGGGGTTTGAGAGGCGGATAAAGTGCGACTTAGTCCAGTCGTGGCATGGTTGGCGCCCGCCAAGCAGGCGTTCAGTCGTGGCTGGGCTGGGAGCCTCCTAAACCTGGATCCTGCATGCAGCGATCTGGAATTCGTTGCGATAGAGATCTCAATGCGCGGTCAAAACTCGCCGGTCGGTATAGGGCTGCAGGGCAGTCGTCCCTCTGTGAAATTGCGCAGCGATGCCTTGCGACACTTGGACATTTCAATGTCGAGCTGATGCAGGTACAGCCCGTGTCCCTGAGCTCATCCCTTCGGCCCCCGAATCGCTGCGGATACTGGAATATCCTTCAGTTTGCTGGCTACGCGCCAGCCGAGGCATACACTGTAAGAAGCTTTCGATAACATATGAAACCTTACTCGCACGCTCCTCCACATTTTATCGAGTTGGTAGTGCACCTGCCTGTAACGCAGCGGTGCGTCCGTATGTAGGAGGGATACTCAGTCAGAATACGTTCGCTAGCACTCGTCTTGTTAGCGCATGAACATGAGATACAGAGAACGCCTTTGGGTGCATCCTCAGGAGTTTGGGCAGATAGGAATGCTTCTTCGTACGTATGTATTGCATAGCCAAGACGCCAGGTCCAATATAATACTGGCGCGCAAGGTGGGTTCTCAAAAGCAAAACCAGGTGCCAATTCTCTTGCTCCTTCCTTTCCATCCCTTATCAACCGGCTCCATATCTTCTTTGGTATAGACATCGGTCTCAAGATCCATTTCGCTCGCTTTCCTAAACTTGGTCTTCTTCAGAAGTTTCCAGCCGACAATCATCAATAGGAAGATAGGTAGCTCCAGGTAGAAGCTAACGAAATCCACGGCGGCAAACTTAGGGCTGAATGACGACCACCCCTGAACTAGCACAATAAAGATGTTTAGGAAAACGCAGATGTAAGGGCCCCAAGGGTACATCCAGTTTCGGAAGGGTAGCAGGTGTTCCTTTCCTTGGGCTTTGAGACCTGCGCGGAAACGCAGCGAAGAGATGCCGATGCATATCCAACTCAGTTGGTTCGAAACACCTACGATGTTCTGCAGCCATGTCCATAGCTGGCCCGATCCGACGAAAGAAAGGGAGAAAAGTATAATGGATATCAAGCTCGTCGTCAAAACGGCGATCCACGGAACTTGGTATCGCGTCAGCTTTGTGAAGACCTTAGGCGCATGTCCATTCGCTCCGAGTGTGTAGAGCAGGCGGGAGCCGGCGTAGAGGGCGTGGTTGCCTGCAGATATGACACTGGTGAGGACTACTGCGTTGACGAATGATCCAGCCGCTTTAGATCCGGCCATTTGGAATGCGATGGTGAACGGCGATGTGCGCGATGACTTCGTCGAGAGACCGGGATAATCGTACGGTATGTTGAATCCAATCATGATAGCCGTAAGGATGTAAAAGAGCAAGATGCGCCAAAAGACGTTCTTCACGACCTTTGGAAGCACGCGAGCTGGATCGCGCGTCTCTCCGGCCGTGATTGCGATAGACTCAGTTCCACCGTAGGCGAACGATGCAGTCACGAAAACGGATGCGAAGCCTCCAATACCACCCACGAATGGCGCATCTCCAGCAGTCCAGAACTTGCCTCCAATATATCCATGGTCGGTGTTGGCACCAGCATTGACTGCGATGCTCAGGATAACGAAGATGACGATGGTCACCACCTTTAGAAGACTAAGCCAATACTCCAGCTCGCCGTAAGCCTTGACGTTGATGATATTCGCCAACACGATAAGCACCCATACGGCTATGCCAACAGCATACCATGGAACACTATCGCTCCAGTATTGGATCAACAGCTGCAAAGCGACCAGATCTGCCGCCGTACTGACAGCATCGTTGAACCAGTAGTTCCAAGTCAGCGCAAAGCCAAACGCATCGTCCACGTAGCGACCGGCGAATGTGCAGAAGGAGCCGGCGACAGGGACAAAGGCAGCCATTTCGCCAAGAGATAGCATGGTGCAGAAGACGATGAAGCCGACGATCGAGTAGCAGATGAGTAGCGAAGCTGGTCCGCCAGTTGCAAGAGCTTTACCAGTTCCGAGAAAGAGTCCAGTACCGATCGTGCCTCCGATGGCTATCATCTGTACCTGCCGGGCACTGAGGGAGCGTCGAAGGCGATCTTCGTTGACGAGATGAGATGGCATCCGGTCCAGGGATTCGGGCGATGCCGCCGCGACATCATGAGGATCTTTCTCGGGGTCGGTGGTCGTCATAGTTGGAGCGAGGTCTACCGCGGTAATGCGATGCGATGTAAGAGCTGAATCTCAGAGCTGGCGCATGGAAGCTTTTCATGGCGAAGCTTACTTCTCGACTGAGCACGAGCACGTTACCCATAATTCGCAGGCGAGTCAGCGATCATTACAATTCTGGCGCATTTCGCACAACTTGCCACGGAGCACGTCATTTTGCTCGTAGCGGATTGGTGGTGCGGGGGAAACCAGAGGGTCGGAAACATTTTCACTCTAAGTTTGCATCGCACTATACCACATACAGTTAGCGGTATATCCCTCTTGGATGGCTATTACTAAGGATGCCTAGGGCGCGAGGAAGCTTGTTCAAGAGCAACCTTGGACATTCGTCCGCTAACATAAATGGTCAGGGCATCTCATTCTTCATATCCTACTTGCCAGATCTCGAGTGCGACGACTTTGTCTTCGAAAACCGTCGAACTTGCATTAATCTCTACACGTCGCAGCGCATCGGTGAAAGCAAGACTTAGAGCTCCGGCGTTGATCCTCACTCCCTTGTTCTTCTAGGGCCATCTTGATCAGACTCCTTTGATGATATCCGCAGCCTTCTCCGCAACAGCATACATCGTTGCCTGCAAGTGCGCCGCTGGTATCAACGGAAGAATACTCGCGTCCACCACCCTCAATCCTTCTACACTATAGACTCTCAACTGCGGATCCACACATCCACCCAACTCTTCTGGCATCAGCGCACATGCGCCGCTCGAATGCGCATACGTCGGATCTAAAGCAGCAGCCTTGATGCTCGCGTCAAAGATCTCGTCGTCGGTCTGATATTGTGCGCCCGGCACGGTTTCGACAGGCGCATAGCGCTGCAGCAGGGGTGCGGTGGTCCAATGCTTTCTGTTCCAGCGCACGAGCTCGCCAAGTACTAATTTATCGACTGGGTTCTGGAATGCGTTCCGGACAACGATCGGATTTGCAGATGGGTGCGTGGTGTTAAGGGTCAGCATACCGCGCGAGAGAGGTTTCTGCACTGCGGTAGTTGCCCGACCCCAGGGTTGGATCGGGTATTCACCTGTAGCCGCATCGTCGGAAAGGTAATGCTCGATGAGAATCTTGCGCTGTGCCATGAATCCCTTCAGCAAGGTATCGATCTTCGAATAGCGTTGTGGTAGGTAGGTGGTGGCATCTTGCTCAGAGATGAGGGCGGTTATGTCGGCGTACTTGTCCGAGAAATCCTTGAATGCGAGAAAGAGTGCGGCATTGCCGCGTCCAAAGGTCCATGGACCCGTACGGTTAGCTTCGTACAACTCGGCAGCTGTGGCGTTGAAGACTGGATCAGGTATTGTGACAAGCATGTCGGGATTGGGAATGGACTGGTTCGAGAGGTTGAAGCGCATGTACAAGGCTTGATGATCCTGGAAGTTCGAGCCAACAGCCGGAAGGTCTTTCTTCACAGCAATCCCAGCAGCAGACAGTTCATCCTTTGGACCGATGCCTGACAGCATGAGCAGATGCGGTGTAAACACGCCTCCGGCTGCAAGTATGACTTCTTTCTTCGCAAAGACAGATGCCTTCAAGGATTCGTCGTTCGATGTATACTTGACGCCGCTTGCTACGAGCGTAGTGCTGTTTTTGAACAAGATCTCATCGACGTGGGTATTGGTCATAAGATGCAAGTTGCTTCTTGTTTGAACTGGATCGTAGTAGGCTCTGCGAGCATGGCTCCGCTGCTTGGTGGAATTGTCAATGGAACTCGGCGTCCAGAACGTTCCGATGGGTCTAGTGAGACCTTCGGGTGAGTGAGGGATGTCGGTTCTGGATACGAACGATCCCATGATGTCGACGTAGTCTTCGTATTGGTAGTTGGGTATGGATACTTTGACTGGACCGTCACCGTATCTATTCGTGGTTAGTTACCGTACAGTTGAAATCGACATGAGCACGTACGCGTTGGCATCGAAGGTCATGTTGAAGTGCTGGCGGACTGCCTCCGAAGGGCCATCAAAATGAGTAGACTTTTTGAAGTACTTCGCGAGACCGTCATAGCCCCATCCCGGATTTCCTAGCTGCTCCCATGCATCGTAGTCTGCATCGGAACCTCTATCCCACTGCATCCCGTTGACTACTGAGCCACCGCCAACAACATTGCCTACATGCACCATCCAAGTCTTGTTCTTCATGAAAGGTTCTGGAGCAGAAGTGATGGGATAATAGTTCTCGGCGTTGATGTTGGCAAAGTAAGGCACGCTTGTCGTAGGTCTGTTATCGATGGCGCCATTCTCAATGACCAGAACAGAGACTTGATGCTGTCAGTGATGTAGACCATACTGCTGAGAGGCGTTGTGCTTACCATCTGCATCTTCAGTCAAGCGATTGGCGACTACTAATCCGCTGAGTCCTCCACCCACCACAATATAATCGTAGGTAGTTGACACTGGGGACGTCTGTCGAATGCTCACTGCCGCTGCTGCGGGTGTAGAAAGGGAGCCGATGAGCCCAACAAGGAACGTGTACCTGACTGACAACATTCTCGTGGGTTTCGTGATCTACGCTGTCATGGTGAGAAGATAGTGTCTCGTTCACGGCATTAAGAGACCAGAACCTTTTGCTCGGCACGTCCTTAGGTACCTGTGCCACAGCTGTACATTTACCCATGTCAAAGGTTAGAGCTCTCAATACCCCCGACCCGAGTCCACACGGGGAAGGTGGGATGCTGCAAGTGGGTCATCCCATACAAAAGGTCCTGTAACTTCAAACGAGTCGATGCGTTATTCATTTCGGTTTTATCCTCGATTCGACGGAGTGGTGTTGATCGCGCATCCTTCCGATGCGCGTTCGCGGTGAGCCCCTCTCTGGCGCTTGCCCCGGTGTTGAGCCAATTACGAATGGGCTTTGAGTGGGGCGCCAAGCAGCGGCAGCAGCTTCCGTCGCGTTGCCGAAAACCGATCTTTCGGCAGGTAGTCATTCCTGCCTCAACGTGCGACATCCCAAAGGCTGGCAGAGTATCGTGTCATTGATATCATTCTATTTACCTACGAGCGATCTATCGTTTACTCCGAGATCTCACATTCATTCGCGTTCCAACACGAAAACCCATGTCTTCTTGCTGTTCCCAAATCCCATACGTTCATACGCCGTCTCCAGCTCTCCTACTCCGCCTCCTCCTGCTCCTGCAAGTCCTGTACCCTCCTGTCGGCCTCAGCATCCGCTCCCTTCTTGCTCACAATAGCCTGCGCAATCCACGTGCTGACAAGCACCACCGCGCAGACCAAAGTGGGAATCAACATCCTCCTGCTCGCCTGCGCTTCACTGCAAATCTGTTGACTGTGATCATCATACCCACTAGAAAGCATCTCGAATATACTGCAAGCAGCGAGTTCGCGCGTGCAGTCGAAATACGGGTTGTAGTATGAGTATGCAGCGCTGGGTACGCATGCCTCGCGTTCCAGACGTTTCTTGGTCTCGAAGGTGATGATTGTGGAGGTGAGTGACATGGCGAATGCGGCGAGACCGAAGAAGATCGAGCAGGCTAGTACCCATGGGAAGCGTGAGCCGGCGGTCTTGGGGTTCTGGAGCAGTTGTCAGCAGGGCCTCTAGAGGTTGGAGGTAGTTAGGCATACCTTCTCCTTCATCATCATGAACGCCACCGTCAGCCATCCCACGACTCCGGCAACCAACCCAACACAACCGCTCACCAAGACCCAGATGTCGTTGCTCGTCACATATTGCATGTAGACTTTGTTGAAGTCTCTGTTTCCGGCGTCATACTCCTCCCAGTACGCCCTGCGTGCGGGTGAGCCAACGGGTCCGTAATATGTGTATCTGCCTTCTGGATAGCTTGCGTCCATCGACTCGCTGTAGTGTGTGACGAGAGCGACCGTTGCAATCGAGAGAGCAAGCAGGGTTGTCGATGCCAGGAGGGAAGTGGCTTGTAAGGCCTTGGAGAGGATTGATGAACTCATGCCTGTATCGTATACAGTAACGTTAGGATGGAAATACGATGGATGACCTGGAAAGGGTAGAGGTCGGGGTGAAAGAATGATTGCGATATAAAGCACAAGGCTGGCAGCCCACGACTACTATATACAACCACGATAAAGCCGGGCGGGGTACACTCCACCGCGCTTTTCCAGTCGCATGCTGGAACGGGACCCGAGTAAGACATGCTTGATCGCACGACTGCGCCTCCGTCAGGCATCCCGCGTCCGACTTCTATGATCTCAAACCGACCGCCAAGCCCGTGCAGCGCATGCGATGAAAGAAGAATGCGCAGACATCATTCGCGCGGATACACTTGGTGCTGCAGTGTATCGGAGCGGAGTCTAGGCAGATCCTGACGTCGTCATAGCGACTACGCCGGGTTGTGGTGTTGTTTCGCCAATGGATCCTGGACCCGAGTTCGCTACCAACGCCACGTACGGTTACTTCGACAACAAAGGACTGATCTGTTCTTTTCGGTGCTCCCGTACTCGGCTCTACGGTCGCTGTTACTTAGCACTGTCTACGTGTCGGGTTGGAGAATTCTGCCTTGGAGTTGACCTCACAACAATGCACATTGCAACCAACACGGTCCGATCCATGGATAAGTATTGCATACCATATTGTTCAGCCTTGCATTCCTTTCCTATTATTCTCTTCATCTCTTATCCACCTCAATACTCATCATCATACCTCTGCTCGTCCCTCCCCTCATCATACGCATTCTCCATATTGTCACCAAACTGCTCCACGCCTTCAGTCATGTTATCCCACTTATTCTCGATATCCTGCGGTATGTCCTCCACAGCCTGAACCTTCTCGCCCGTCCACTCCGCTGCGTTTTCCGGGAAGTCTTCCACGTCCTGGACGCCGTTATCCCACTTCTGCTCGACGTCGTCGCCAAAGTTCTCGGCGCGTCCGACTTGCTCGCCGGTCCAGCCCGCGGCGTTTTCGGGGAAGTTGCTGACGTCGTTGCCGAATTCGTCGACGCCGTTGGAGACGTTGGCTTTGGCGCTGTCCCAGCCGTCTTCTACGATGGGATGTTAGAGATGATGTGGGTAAGTTGGGTGACTGAAGGAGTACGCACCGATCTTGTCGCTCTCGTGCATCAGCAGTGCACCGCCTGCAACACCTGCAACACCAGCTGCGGCGTACTTCCAGCCATTACCACCGCTCTTCTCTTCCTGTTGTCGACCACTCCGAGTCGGGTCGTATGCGCTCTGCTGGTATGCACCCTGGTTGCTGTAGCCATCCTGGCCGTAACCATAACCGCCTTGTGGAGGTGGAGCGCCGTAGTTTCCCTGTTGTTGCGCGTAGCCGGGGCCGGGGTACTGGAAAGTTCGCTCGCCGTTCTGCTGATTCACGAAGACCCAACGATTCTCGCGTTGATCCCACTCAGCATACCATGGTGGCGAGACTGGTGGTGGTTGCTGGGAGTGCTGTGGGGGAGGATACTGTGAGTAGCCCTGCTGTTGTTGTTGGGGTGGGTATTGGCCATAGCCTGACTGCTGCTGCTGTTGCTGTTGGTCCTTTGAACCAGAGCTGGTGAAGTCGGAGATCAATTCGCTGAGGAAACCCATGATGAGTATGCTGTGGATGTTGGGTTGTGTGAGGAGTTGGTAGAAGTTGTATGAGGACTGTCAATGTGGATGCAGGTGGGGTGAGGTATTTATTCAATGATCTACCTATGCCCCTCTTACGCATCAATCGGTCCACTACATCTGCAGCTAGATCTGTTCGAGATGGCCCACGATGCGTAACAAATGCGAACGGCCGGACCTTTGAAACGTGGCGCAATCTCGGTGAGGCGGTGAGGCGGTGCCGCTCTCTCCGTATTCGGCAAAAAGCAGCCACAATGGCCAGCAACGGGCAGTTGCGACAGATACGTCCGCTTCTATTTTATCAAATCCCATCCTGAGCATGTCAAACGCCAACAGAACCAGCGATTTGGCTGAGGTGGCCGACCCTCATTCGCAGGATGTCAAGCTTCGTTAAGCTTTACTTGGCACGCGGCTGGTCCCTTCCGGATGAGCTAGGCTCTGACAGCCCCACTTGAGCGAAGGTTTTGAGGCGCAGTTCAGGGGCATTTAATGACGCGACGCGTTGCACTGCGCCACCCGGCCGAGATGATGAAGAGCAGACTGCGAGTCCAATGCTACAATACTCAGCTACGCAGGGATACATGTTCATTGAACGCTTTAATCAATCATTGAAGGAAGTAACTGAACGTTTTCAAGGTTGTCTCCTGCAACCTTCAATCCATGAGCAAACAAGGCTCAAAAGGCTACATTGGCCGAGGGGTCATCCATGAGTTTGGCTTCGAATGTAAACGTAGATTTTGCGCGCTCGTTCAGTTTTACCCTTCCATTACATGCCGCTACAGATCTAGTCGGATATTTCGTAGAATCCCTCATCAGATGCCCCGCCAGACTCCTCGCCAGACTCCTCGCCAGCTTCCTCGCCAGCTTCCTCGTCTGGTTCGAGCCCCAGTACCCAGTCAGTGTTTCGATGCCAAGCGCCCTCTCTCTGGAACGGCCAATCCTTGCACCACCGCGGAAAGCCGTCACGCCAGAAGATGTAATACGGTCCGAAGTTGTAGACAATTTCTAGGCTCTCTCCAGGCTCTGCACTTCTCTTTCTGCTAGTCCAATACTCGAAGTATTGGATAATACTGGCGGGCAGTTGCTGGCCACTGAGCTCGAGATACACGAGCTTCGGTGGCCAAGGTGCGTGTTCGAGCGTCTTTCTCTTCAGGATGTTTGGTCGATCGGGAGTGGTGGTCAGAGTGATTGTTAGTATATTATCGCATTCCAGCAATGCTGAAAGCGTGAGGTCAGAGACTCTGGGTGCACCATCGATGCGCACATGCTTCAACTTCGGTAGCGCTCTAATCATGGCCGCAACCACCTCGTCTGTGATCTCTAGAGCCTTCTTACGCGATGGGTCGCCTAAATATACCGACCAGATCGATCTTTGGAACTCCCATGGAGCTTCGGTGATTCTTTTTATCCTCCGGCTGTTGTAGGTAGTACGTCAGCAGAACGTAGATGGAACGCTATGAGGTAGATGACCAACTTATAAACATTAACATCGCGATGGATATACACCATCGCCTTCCGCACCTGATTGAATGTTTCCGGTCTCCAGTCTTCCGCTGAGCGTATGATCACTGAGAATTACGGGTCCTCAATGCCATGCCAGCCTATTGGCTTTTCGGGATCGAGTCGTCGCCGTTGCTCGTTGACGTAGAAGTTACCTTCGTGGTCACATCCGTCCCAGAAAGCTAGCGGCCATTTGCGCTCTCGTGGATATTGCGCGTGGTTGATCCACGTAACATTCTCGACCTTCTTTGGGTACCCGCGGACCCAGTCCCCGGACTTTTCTTGCTGCGACATGGTTTGGCTGGAAGTGGTGTGAGAAGAGACGGAAGCTACAGCGCATGGGCATGATGGGCAAGCGAGCTGCGGCCAATGGCGGTGTGGCCGATCGACACGCGACATCATGGCCACGTGACCACGCGTTTTCGACCACGCCATTATCCCAAAGCGACAACAAACAACCTCAAAACAACTCGACGCGCTGGTCGGACGCACCGAAGATCTGCACAATGGCCTGGAAATCGACATTGCAACCTTAAGGAACGCTTCATCGTATTACCGTCCAAAATCAGCGCGAGGGCGAAATGGATGAACGTCACGCGGCATTCCACAACTACCAAGGGCGGGCCTTGCTGAGCAGTTCTCAATACCCTTTTTCACGACAACAGATCAAACACGCGCCAGCAGCCATGAGCAAGTTTTGGAGAAAAGCGCGCGACCTTGTGACGTGTTTCGTCGCCTTCACCTCGAGTTTGGTCGGCCTACTTTACCGCAGATTCTTCTTATACCTATAGCAGTAGCTTGTTATATCGCAGCCTCTCTCGAATAACTTCTCCTCAACAACCTATTCTGCGCATCCCTTAAACCGCCTTCTCGATCGGTTTCAAGTTCCTCAAACACTTCAAGTCCAACATGAAGCTCCTCGCGATCTTCTTCCTTGCTCTCATAGGCTTCGTCGAGATCGCCTCCAGTGTCGCTATCACTGGCGTCTCTGACGACATTACTGGATCTGCCGCCACCGGAGACTGCCGCAACGGCGACGAGAAGTGCACTATTCTCCCGATCATCCTCCTCGGCCGCCACTCCATCAAGCGCTGCATCAACCACAACTGGGTCGACGTCGAGATCTGCAACGTCGGGGTCATCTGTATTTCCGACCCTTCACCTCACTGTGCCCTTGCGACTATCAACGGTGAGATCGCTGACAAGGACGAGACACCTGTTGTCGCCGCCAACGAGATTTCATCCCGACAACAGGTCTGTCTTGAGGGGACTCTGCAGTGCGCTTACCTCGACCCAATCAAGCGGCACATCATTCAACGCTGCTATGGCCGCAAATGGGTTAACACCAAGGTCTGCGAAGCCACCGAGACCTGTATCGGTGGAGCTGCGCCCCAGTGTGTCGCTCAGATCGTTCTGGCTCGCGGCGAGACCGACGAAGAGGACACCAACGAGGAAAACACCAACGATGACGACATCGACGCCGTAAGTCCCTCGTCCACCCTCTCTTATTCTAACCCGTGTATACTAATGAACCCCAGGACCTCGCCAACAAGACCGACCTCCCCTGCACAAAATGTAAGAGGATGCGCGATGATTGCTTCAGAGTGGGTCCCACTCACCTACTCCCCAACCGCCCTCTCCCCCTCGCACTGACTAACATTGCCGTAGAACCATCGCTGCAGAACAAGTTACTGCCGCCACGAATGCCTCAACAGGATGAGGAGGTATCTGGTTGAGGACGGTCGACATGGACGGTATCGCGGTACTTGTCAGGACTACTGCCCGCAGTTGTGTCGGTGATACGGAAGCGTGGGCTTCGGTCGGTTTTGCAGTTGCGTGGCGATGAGCATACCGTTGATATGAAGGGTTCGATGATTGGTCTTAGGATTGAGGGTTGAAAACGATGGTATGGCTTAGGCAGACGTATATCGTAGCATAGCTAGTTCATGTCGCGTAATGCGTAAAGACTCGGCTTCTCGTCCTTCTCTTCATTGATCGTTTTGACGTCTCTATACCGAAGCGGAACGATACCTCTGCTACACATATCCGTTACACACAAACAAGATCTCAAGCACCCTTACGACATATCATGCACCAAACAGCCCTCTCAATAGCAACCCACCCGCGCAAACTTTTCTGGGGTATCTAACCTAATCGAAAACCACCTTCTTCCCTGCCGCAGGCCCCTTACCCCCAAGATCAATCTTCAACTTCTTACTCTCCTTCGCCAACTTCGCCGCCTGCCAACTAGGATGCAACTCACCCTTATCATCCCTCTTAATACCCAGCCCCATCTTCCTATCCTTCTTATCGTCCTTCTTGCCCAACGGCTCCGCATTGCTTCCACTCTGCTGCACACCCCGACCGCCCAGCGGCTTGCCCCGTCTTTGTCGCTTGTCGTCACCGGCAACGGCGCCTCGTTTGAGATCGAATTTGACGTTCTGCTGTTGCTTCTCGAGGTGTTTGGCTTTAGCGCCGAATTTCGCCTCCGCTATCTTTTGGCGTGCGCGTTGGCCGCGGCGGTTCTTGCGCGGTGCCGTGTCCGCGTCTAGGTCTGAGGCTTCGGATTCGGAGCCGGAGAAGTAGGCGGCGTGGCTGAGGGCGGGGAGGAAGGCGGAGGAGGTGGGCTTTTCGAGGGCGGCTTTGGTTTTGGTCTTCTTTGTGGGTACGGCGGCTTCGGAAGAGGAAGAGTCTGAATCTGAGTCTGAATCGGCAGAGGACTCGTCGGAGGCAGGGGCTACTGATCGCGAGATGGCTATAGTATCGCTGTCCTCGTCCTCGTCGTCACTAGAGTTGTCTGGTTGTGCGACTTCCTCCGCTTCGTCCTCGCTATCGCTCGCGGCTTCGAGATCGGCGTCAGGGTCGTGTTCGCTTTCGCTGTCTGCGATACTCGGCGGTCGCTCATCGCCGGATACCGAGCCCTCGTTGTCTTCTTCTCCCGAGGACGGCTCGGCTATCCGCGCGCTGAAAGCCATGTACGGGTCGTCCGCCTCGTCGCTCGCGTCCTTCATCTCCACGTCGTCCTTGTCAGCAGCCTTCACCCTCTGCGCCTTCCTCGCCATCTTTTCTTCCTTGTGCTTCTTCATCTCCTCTGTGGTATATTCCTTAACGATCTCCTCCACCTTTTCGTTGTCCTTGGCTTTATCCACCCCAAGTATGCCCTTCAGGTCCTCGATAACCTGATCCACGGCCTTCTTCACCTGTACGACTTTGAACATCCTCGCGGTGACATTCAGTGTGCTGGTATCCTTGCTTCCTTCTCTGATGCCGGAGATGTATTCCTGAAGTGGCTCCGCATCCTTCAAGCTTTTGACCCGTGACAAAGTTTTGCGCAAATGCTGGTCGCCCAGCTGCTCCAAGTTGAGCGCCTTGAGGACATTGTACTCGGCGTTCAATCGAAACACTGCCTCTTTTTGTCCTTTCTTTGTCGCATACTTCTTTCTGCGACTGTACTTCTGGCGCTCGAGCTGTGAAGCATGGCGCAGAGCTTGGAGGAGCGGTTTTTGCGCATCTTCGAGGCGCTTCTGGCAGTACTTGGCTTGTTTCGCGGGGTTCATGATCACGGGGGGAGGAAGGTTCCCGGAGGCGGCGGCCGTCTCGCGCTTTCGTTTCGGCATCGTGGGCGTTGTTTGGCGGTGTTGCTGGTGTTGTTGGTGTCGGGCGGCTGGTGGAAATTTTGGAGATGGGCGCGGCCTAATCGATTAGCCCGCGGCCAGTCACCTTCCCATGTGGCCGCCGCACCAACCTTCCTTCACTCTCACTCTTTCGCGTCTTGTCACTGTCATCACACCACGCGCGCTGCCGAGTACATCTTCATGATGCATTGCAGTCGTTTCGAAAAAAAAAAAAACATCGAGATGCATACTACAAAGATAGCTAATCAGATTAGCTGAGGCGCTTAAGGCGCATTGCGTTTCAGTCACCCCTCCCCTCCTTCCATTTTCATTTCACCTTGCGTCATCATCGTTATCTTCTCCTTCGCGTCTGCTGCTGATTATAGAACCGCGTCTCTGGCATCCACGGGTGCTGAGGCGGTCTATCGTCAGGCGCACCTCCGCCCCGCCCGCCATCAGGAACAGCGGGTTCAGCGTCAGCATACTCGCTTCGACCCTGCCCTCGTGGCCGCTCACCAAACTCCGCCTGTCTTCCTGGCTGCAGATGAGGATCCGCCTCTTCGGGTTGTGAGTCGCGGGCGTTGTTCATATTGGGCACCTGTAGGAACTCGGGTCGCTGCTGCTGCTGCGGCGGCGGCGGCGGCGGCGGTTGGGGATTACCCTGACCCTGAGCCCCCGGACCCTGAGGTGGTGGTGCTCGTTTCGGTGGGTTAGGAGCACGCTGCGGTGCAGGGGCGTTAGCATTGTTGTTCCTGTTGTTATAGCCAACGGGTACGAAGCCTGGCGGACCGCCGGCCAGGTTGTCTGTCTCATGGTCAGCTCTTTCTTATCGGTTCTGCTTACTACATGACAGATTGTACGATCTGACATTCCCATCATCTCTTCGCGCGGACTGGAGTGTCTCGCTCTCTGGTCTGTCTGATGAGCTCGCCGACTGTTGCTCTAATCTTCCCAGATTGATGGGACATGCTTGCGTACCCAGTACTTCTTCGTTCGTGCCATGGTGCTTGGTGAGACTGCGTTGGGTATGGGAAGAAAGAAACAACCATGACGATCTTATACTGAGGGATAGTGACTGCTGAGAGCATGGAAGAGGAAGTACTGATCCAATACTGGATGCGGAGGTATTTCACGGAATGCCACTTACCACGTCTTCCTGGCCCATTGCGGTACCGTCGCCGAGTAGCACCATATCGATAACCATCATCGCTCTCATCGCTATCGTAACCGACATCGTACGCATTCCTTCCGCGTCTTGGTTCTTCGTATCCAGGATATCCTCCATATGTAGGATACCCTCCATATGCAGGGTATCCACCGTATCCACCGTATGCAGAATATGATCCTGCTTATTTAGCAGTGAACTAGTAGGCTAT